AGTTTAATTGCTTGGGACATTTTTATTTGATACTTATTGAAGTGATAAAGAAATCTTTCTTTCTTTCCATATTATCGACATTATCTTCTCGTAAAACATGCTAATGAGAATGTCCGTAAATAGTTTGACATTTAAAATCAATTATAAAAAAAAAAAAGAAATAAACGAAGTATATTAACCAATTATCATCATTTATTTCAACCTTATGAGTAATAATAATGTATTACTGATAAATTATTCTTTAATCGCAAAAATACAATGAAATAAGACGATACAAAATAAAGCTATTATATGAGAAAGTATAAAATCAAAATTCACCTACTATAATTACATACACGCAACATACGATACACTTACTAATGCATACACATACACAAGTACCACCGGTATATGCTCTCGAGTTTTCGTTATAACGCGAGATCAAGCAGCAGAGGGAGAGAAGGTTTAATTGAAAATCCGGGTAGTAATCGTGCACGAAATTGTCGCGCTCAAAATCACATTTTCACCTTGATCTGGAATACCAACGTTATATTCGCTCTTTATCGCGACTCTTATCTGGTTCGTCATCGATTCACTTAACGTCTCAACGAATAGAAAAATTATTTAAAAAAAAAAAAAAAAAAGAAAATGAAAATGAAAAAGAAAAGAAAAAAGAAAAAAAAGAGAAAAGAAGCCTAAGATAAAAAGAACTTTTTCGATATCATCATATTTCTTAAGGAAGCCCGACAGGATCGATGACATTTTCAGCAATTTCAGCGAAATTAGATTGCGCTTACTAGTTCAAGGATAGAAGAAAACCTAGCAAGGTTTTCCTTCTACCTCGATCTCTTTTACCCCTGCCATCGACCCATTCGTAGGAAATCATCCTCCAGTCTTTTTTAGATTCCATCTAAACTATCATCCTACTTGTCATCGGATATGAAACGAGTAATTGGAGTATTTAATTTTCTTTTTTTGGTTTCTTTATCCCTCTTTACTGCTACTATTTTTATTTGTTTGCGTTACGAGTTTTATATATCCGTTGATTGTCGTAAAGTGAAAAAGAAAAAAAAAACAAGAAAAAAATCTTTAGCGTAGAAACAACGATCATATCGTAGGATATGAAGTTACACAAGTCATAATGTTGGAAAAGGGTCTATCGTAGAATACTTGAAACGTAGGAGAGAACTTCATCGTCCGATTCGCGTAACAATGGACGCGAGAATGTTCTTCGCGTCTTTTCTCACGTACAACGATGGCACGTGACCGTGCTTGCGAAAAACGGTTTCCACGTTGTTTGACTCTTTTTTTCTCTTTTATTATTTTTTTTCTTTTTTCTCATTTTATATCTCACTCACTCACACACACTCGCTCAATCTCACAAGTAACATTGATAGCAGAACGGCAGATTCGGTGCAAGTGGAGTCACAGGCCGCCGACACATTACCGCGGCACGTGCCCGTGGTATTTCGTATTACACCGGCAAGCTAATTAACTTGGGGGCCTTCGGTTATTAATCCGCACGAAAACCGCTCCAATGCTGCAGACCCGTCGTAGTCGTGGCAGAGAACCGAACCACATCGACGACGACGACGATGGTCGGCTGGACGAACCCGCCGCCATCGACCGGATGCGTCTCGTATATACCCTGTATGAAACCTAACGGACGCGACCTGACGAGAATTTCCGTTTAATAATACATATCCACTACCTACATTTTCCTTCTATAATTTATCCTGCTAAAGATTCGAACTTTTAACGATATTTAACGAACCCTCTACGTTTTCGCTAATTCGTATTACTGAAAACTCTACTTTTTATAATCTAATTAATTGTGTATTTCCTTTTTTCATATGTTCGATATAATTTTGATCATTGATTTAGTTTTATGAGATATATTTGATGTAGAGTATTTTACATTACTTGTTTACATAATAGCTAGATAGATGTATAACGTGGTATAACATTATATACACATTTTCATAATTTCCGCTACTTATGATAATCAAGTAATATATTCTGAATTAAATTTACCTTTTGTTTCATTCAATTTATACACCTATCTTGACTCTTACCTTAAATTAATTTTATTATTTTTTTTTTATAGAAAATAGAAAGAATATATTTTATTTTTTTTTTGTTGAAAAAATCACGAGTAATAATGATTATTGATTTATCACGACTATGAAAATATCGTCAAAACTCGCATTAATACTCCGCTCGGTATTATAAATTTCGGCGTATTACTTACGGCGTAAAGTCATAAAATTCATAACGACGCAGAGCGGCATAATAACAATGAACGAGCCAGAGTGTGTAGTGTGCAGACGTGTTACAGCATTCGTAGAAATTTACGACGGAACGTCGTACCCACTGCACACCGCCCTACCAAACTGTTCCTACACATAAGCTTCAAACTTTCGACATAGTTGCCGAAATAACATGAAAACATAACCGAACTTTCTTCCTCTTCGGTAAACTTTCTATTTTTTTCTCTCTCTTTGTTTTTCCTTTTTTTTATGCTATAAATTTTGCGAGACTGTTACATTGAAGAGAGACGACAAATGGATATTAAAGTGATAACAAAAATTTGAGAAAACCTATCTCACGAACTAATATAATCGAAAAATAATCTAAGGGCTTATTTGACATCGTTAAAAACTTTATAATTAATTTTTCATATCACAAATCTCATTGGTTGGTATTTACGATCTATCCATCCTCTTAATATTTTCATCGATAATAATTTCGTCCGAAAATCGAAAGATACGTCATCCAAAGGTTCGTCTAATTCATCTTTCTCATTGTTAAATCTCATTCATCTATTAGGAAGATACGCAGGGATGCATTTGACATACGATTGCAAATTGAATCGTTATATTCTAGCAATTCCATATTTTGACTGACAACAATACGATACAACGTGTCTACAACCCTGTAAATAACAATCGAATAGTATGGGGCCATAGGGTTCTACAGAAATAGAGAGATAGACTCCGATTGTATGCGACCCTTCTTGCCGAATCTGTTTAGTCGAATTCGGCTTGACAAACGAATTGAACTTGTTAGTATAATGAGCATAAACAGAGATTCATCGAGCACGCATCAGGCTTTCATCTTGGCGATTCGACATCAAACGCGATCTAATTTCAAATCAAGTTCTACATCAATCTCGCGGTGTTTTGAACCGAATATGATCGTATCGGGTCACGTAATTATAGTTCGATCGTGTTTCCATTAATCCTCTTACGTTAGTTGAAAAAAAAATTTTAGAGATGGTTTGTATGATGAGAGTCAGAGATAGAAACAGACAAGCAGGCAGACAGACGGACAGACAGACAGACAGAGAGAGAGAAATACAATCGAGGACGATTCAGGTGAAACATTCCCTTTCGTATGAACTACACAATAGCATGAACTAAATTCTGATCGTGTGCGGAGATGTCGCACTGTAATTAACCGCAGCAGCATGTGACAGGCGTAACCACGTCTCGATGTGGACATCTAACCGCTAATCCGTTATACCTTGCTGTTTCGCATCGGAAGCCGTTAGCGCAACATCGAAATCCTTCCCCCAATATCGACGTTCAGATATCACCGCTATCGAGTCTACTATGCTCATTCCATAACCGGAAGTATTCTAATATCGTTCGTGTAATTGACTGCATTGATGCAAGACCATTTTGCAAGTAGTTCGCAAATGGTTTCTATTACGCTTTATCGTTGTTCACCGAACTGCGTACCCTACGTATATATATAATACACTAATTAACTAAAGACGAACAACCAATAATTTATGTATAGAACTCTAATGTTATAAAAAAATTTACAGTAACGAAAAATAAGACTATAGACTTGGATAAAAAGAAAATAAAAATATAAAGAACGTGTAAAAGATGAAACATAATCATCAAAAATCGATGAAGCATTTAGAACGAATTCATAATTCGTTGATCGGTATGTAATCTACTATTAATTCACTACAATGTAGAATACAGCAAATCCAATGATAAGAAGAAATCTTCGAACGAATGAACATTTCGGATTATACGCGAGTACATAACACATATTACATACGGCGCGAGTACATACATATTAGCCTGAAGCAGACATTTACTAACAGGAACGAGAAACGTTTGACGTGTTTTTGGTCGCATATGGGATAGCAAGCAATTCCGTAGGCACATCCTCGCTTACATAGAAGCTTTGCCCTTTAGCCAGTGTAATGTTCGTAATACAAGATGAATATACACCTAACACACAGAGAGACGCGTAGAATCGGTACGATCGGCATCCGACCGGATCGCATGGACTTCCCGTTCGTTCGGACTCTCGTGGTATTTTCCTGGACCGTATGCCGGAAGCGTATTGAGTAAGAGAGAATATTGCGGTACCTCCGGCCACGTTCCTATCTACCGTTTGTCTATAATGTGAAACTTGTTTTCTATCGTTAAAAGAAACTTTCTCGAGTATACGCAACCAAGAAACGTATAAATGAGAATAAGGAAGAGAAGGAGGGGTAAGGATAGAAGGCAGGGGGTACGGTTGACGGAAACTGCAACAGAGCTGACAATGATAATGATAATGATAACGATAATTATGATAAGATCGAGAAGGCAAGACTCGAAGATAGTCTACAAAATTATCAGATGAATTTCTTCCTTTATTATAACTCGAAGAATTTTGTTGAGGAAACTTAAGTCCTCCGCGTCGGTTTAATCCTACTGTTAATGAAACTTTGCGATAGAACGACAGCTTACTACCTACCTTCGATCGTCTTTTATTAAACGTCGTCCTCTCCCTCGTTATAGACGTTCAACGTGACGAAGATTTGTTTTGCTAAGAAACAATTGCCAACTTTTTTTTTCTCAACCCCTTTTCCATTTATTTTCCCTTTTTTCTTCCTGTCTTCATGGATAAAGTATTAACATCGAATAACTCTTTGTATTTTTTTTTCTTTTTTTTCTTGTTTGTTTTTTTTCTCTCTTTATTTCTCTCTTTCTCTCTCTCTCTCTTTTCAGTTACGACATGAGGGGAAAGCATTTAGAAAAGCATTGGAAAAACAAGGAACATTTGAACGAGTTTACACACTTTCGAATGAACACCGATCCGGCTATGTTAATCATCAATAGCGTCGAGGAAAAGGACGAGGGAGATTACAGATGTCGGGTGGATTTCAACAAGAGCCCTACGAGAAACTCGAGAATCTATCTGACCATCATTGGTAAGTAAAATATTTCCAAAATTTAATTGTACTCCTGTAGTCATATTTTTACATACATGGAAATGCAATAAACTTGTAATAAACCTTTACAAATAACGCGAGCAAATACGTAGATAAATATATATCACTTAAAGAAAAAAGAAAAATAAAAAAAAAAGGAATATAAAAAATAAAAAGCAAAAGAAAAAAAGAAAAAAGAAGAAAAGAGTAAAACGTAGTAACGTGCATGTTGGTATCCTCTTTGAAATTCATAACGATCTCACGGAAGAGGGAGCTCGCGATAATAATCTCCTGCAACATGTTGGCTGCGTATTCGCACCCCTTCTTCTTACGACGTTTTATCAGGGTAGCCACGTGCCGGTGTTGTAAGTACGCGGAAGCCGCGCCATTTTTCCGGGACATTAAACCCATACCCGACGCTCGTACCTTCCCATCCTTGCTAGCACCAATATCATCTTCTCTTATCCCGCACTCTCTTCTTCTCTCTCGCTCACTCACTCACTCGCACGAGCTCTTCTTTCTCCTTCAAGAAACTTGTGGAAATAAGCAGCTGTTTCGTCGTACACAATCCGCAACATCGTTCTCCGATCTCGATTTTTCCACGTTAGACGAGAAAAGGAAATCTAATATTTTTTTTTATTTTTTTTCCCAAGCATTACACCTACTATGTAATACATGACGTATACACGTTAATAAATATATTAAAATAGGACGTAAATGTATTTTATATTTGTAAAGACAACTCGTTAAAAAGATATTATTACGATGCATCGATTACAGGTTCATGAGGTGATAACGATTTGCATATCAAATTTATTTACATTTAACTACGTGTATAGATCAACGTAACATTTAATTGGTTACCCTATCAATGCAAGGAGCGACAGTAATGCTTATTGTCATAATACATCTACGGCATGGGAATTCGCACGGGCAGCACAAACCACGATTTATGTGGAAATTCGGCCAATAGGAAGCCTCGCATAGTTCGCATAGTTTAATGTGTAATCCATGTACCTGAACCTCTGGTACGCGTGTGTTCTATTATACTCTGCATATTCTCTATATAAATATATATATAGACATATGTATACATATAATATATATATATATTTACAATATCTATATATCTATATATAAATTTATAGATGGGTGTGTGTATTTATATTATATATTTATACACATGCGCATATGCGCTTTAGCAATAGCGAATTGTTTTCTGGTATATTCTATATACGATTTATACGCGAGAGCATACATACGATACATTTTATAGTCGGCATTGTATTGAGTTAGGTTGTTCGCATTGTTCCCAATTCAAAAGTATAATCGTAATAGTTGCGGAAACATGGAAGGTAAAGGTATACCGAGCAATTTCCGAAAGTGAAAAAGCGTAGTGCTGGATCAAAGGAGAAAAGAAGAAAAATTGATGGAAAAGTAAACGATAACGCTTTCTTTCAGTTATCGTTTTCTCTCTCTCTCTCTCTCAATTTTGTTCTCGTATCGTTAGATCGGATATTACGGATAACGGGAAGGTAATTTTTTGCCCGGCTAAATGGCTCTTATGATACCAACACGATCTCTACCTTAAAGTCTTTCAAAGAATAATAAAAAGAGAAAAAAAAAGAAGTTAGCAACTCTCTTTATTATATTCCTGTCTATAAATTGTAAAGTCGTTTATTTATCGTAGAAAATTTCGTTCGAATTGACAGACATATGTTAAAAACGAAAATAAACACAGTTCTTTTCAAATGCTTTACTAATTTCGCAATATTAACCCAGGGAATAGGTTTAAATTTTCACGATTAAACTATAGTAGTTTCTTATCTTTTATGAACTATTTGATCTCAACAGTTTCGATAAAACCGTTTACATTGGAGCTTTCAAACGACACAGATATCAGAAGTTTATCGATTCGATAATTAGCAAACCTATTTCCAATATAACATTATACTACTGGGTCTTTCGAAAATCGTTGAATTTAATGCTTTATTCGATAACGATAAAACCCTTTTAATTCTCCAAAGCAAAGCATTACACTAGTTTATTGTATTTTCGTTTGTAATTTCTAAATTCAAAAACTCGTCTATTTCAATCCGACACGATTACAATCCGAACGATCATCCATCAAAGCTTACGTCAATTCTCTCTATTCTTCGTAACTTTGTTTGTTAATTTTCAATTCAATTCAATGGTAAAACGGTCTCTCTTCGTAGCAATGGCGAATTACTAAGCCGATTAAACGTAGTAGTTCTCGACTGAGCATAATTCCCCGCTCTACTCCTTTGATTTTTTGTTTGCCTCTCTCTTATTTTTCACGTCGCTTTTAAAGAGAAACTCGGAACGCTTTGCATTGTGTTTACGAACGGAATTTGTACCTACCTTCCTATTTTCTTTACACAAGGTCGCACGTGTATGATCGCGTTTACAACGGTATTACGAATATCTTTCTGTACGTTTTTATCTAACTAAAGCTTTTAGCTTCGACGAAATAATTACTCTAGTATCATTATAATATCTTAGTTTACTCTAGATTCGTGTTCTCATTCCGACAATATTCGACTTTTACAATAGAGGATAAAGTGGGGAAAAAAAGAAAACAAAAACGACAAAATCCTGAATAATATTTTATAATGGGGGGTAAATTTACGAAGGTAAAATATCACGATGCAGAATGCGAAATGTAAAAAAGATTTAACGTTTCTCCCAACATGCTGCGACAAAATCGATGATTCCTCGTAGTTTCTCGTTGTCACATTATACCGACAAATATCTCACTGCTCCTTCGTAATGCCGTATAATATTCGAACAAATCTACTGAGAGTCTTCCGACGTCACAAAATACTACCATTTCCGTTCCCCGATCGGCAATATTTTCGCGTCGTAATGCCGTCGCTCTTTGGCTTCTTACTGGACGAATAAACGAAGAAACTATATTGCTTCCCTTAAGCCGTACTTGACGTTCAATAAATATATAAAACAATGAGAATAAATCCATTCGAAATTTATTCATGATTATTATTTTTTCGTCTAACAATTTCAGATAAAAATAAATCGCTAATTATTATTTATGTTAAATCTGATTTATTGCTAGTCAAACATGTTTTTAATAGAAAAAAAGTTAGATTTTAATTTTAATGTTTTAGTACACTCTTATTAAGATTAAAAACGAAGTAAATTAAAAAGGTATAATTTTGTATATATGTAGTTTGTGACTCTTTGAATTGTGAACATTTATGATATGTAAAAAAAAAAATATATGTCAAAATAATTGTAACATTGTTATATTTTCTTTATTTTTTTTTTCAGTGCCACCACGGACGCCTAACATTATAGACGAACGTGGAAATCCTGTACTGAAAGTAACCGGACCATATGAAGAAGGTGGCAATATGAAGTTAACGTGTCTAGTCACAGGAGGTACGTTATACATTTTTCCTTTATGCTTGATATATCGTAACATAAGTTAGGTAAAAAGTAACGATAGGAAAATATGACGCAATACGATTGACCGTTTTTATCGCGTTTGCGTCTTATTAAAGGTTTTTTTTTTTTCATTTCTTCTTTTTTTCTTTTTTTCAAAACCTTTTAGAAAAAATTTGATCAATTAAGATAAATCTTTTAAAATATATTAGGCGAAAAGGAACAAGCCCGGGTCGTAGAACACACACACATCCTGCGATCATCCTGCTTTGGTTTTGCTTCGGCTCATTTTATCTTCTTTTGACTCTGCTCTGGTTTTTTTTTTTTTTAGCTCGTTCTGGCTTTAGTTTATCCCTGTTATATTTTAATATTTGGCCGAGCGTAACCGTCGACGAAGGCAATAACAATAATGAATTTATTTTTATTACCTCGTATGAACGTTGCCTAAAGGAGTCACTTCGGAATTATACGACAAAGCTTGGATGAGTTCTTCTACTTCTTCTTTCTGCTTTTTTTTTTCTTCCCCTGCTTATTCACCAAGTTTCGCTCGTGCTTTCTTTTTTTTTATTGCTACTCTTCGAGTTTTACCCAACTCCACTTTTGCATTGTCACTGAGAAACAGCGAAAATGGATCCATGGAAAAAGATAATGAGGCTGTAGACGTACGACCCTTCGACCTTATCCCCGTTGTTCCATGTCTCTTCGTTACGACCAAACCCTCCCCTATATATTCATCCTTGATAATTTGTTCTTTCTCACGCAAACGATTATTATAAATTATGAGTTAACGAACAGCCCATATTCCCCCCTTCTTTATCATCGCTCGAGTGACTTTCATTTTTAATTTTTATTTTCAATTTAATATAATAACCCAACCTTCTCTCTTGAAAAAAAAATAAGTCAAATACCTTTAGGTATCTATATATCATTTATGATATATAGATTTTTAAATAAGAAAATTTGTTTCTTGTTGTTTTCAGGTCGTCCAGAACCTACGGTTAAATGGTGGCGAGGAGAAACCTTATTAGATTCTAAAGACATGAGAGGAGAATTTCCAGACCTTCGTCGAAATACTTTGGTCGTGACCGATCTCTCGAGAGCTGATCTACACGCTGTCTTCACCTGTCAAGCTTCCAACAATAACATCAGTCAACCTGAATCTGTCTCGGTAGCGATCGAAATGCATCGTGAGTAAACTTCAACACCGTTTTCTCTTATACTTTTCTTCGTTTTACTTTAGTCGTTTCTAAAGACAAACTTCTCTCTCTCTCTCTCTCTCTCTCGTATCTTCTTAGAAACCAGCAGCTTGGATTTCATTATCTCACGAATCCAAATTATACGACACTTCTTGCATCTGCATACATATGTATGCGAATGGAGGAGCTTGTTAAGGAGACACGTATTTTGCCCAACCCGCTTGAATCCTATTCCACCTTTTTCTTTTTAAAGAGTCACTGCTGCTCCTTCTTTCTTTCTTTCTTTCTTTCTTTTCCTCTTTCCTTCCTTCCTTCCTTCCTTCCTTCCTTCCTTCTTTCCTTCCTTTCACTCTTTCACATTTTCGCATATGAAATATATTAGGATATCTTATAAATTTACATGATTACGCAAGATCCTACCACTCTCTTTTATTTGAAACATTCATGTTGCTAATTTAGACGCTTTTCGCCCAAAAAGAAATACGCACTCGTGTTATTCCAATTGCCATTTCAAATGATTTTCCTCGTTCCATCTTGTAAGAGATGGAGTGAAGGGGGGAGAGTTTGGCTTAACTCCCGAGGGAACTTCAACGGGACCAGTTGAAACGTAAGTAAGAAACAGAAGAGGACGGAACTATATAACGACAAAATAAGAAAACGAATGGTAAACAAAATAAAACGGAAGGAAAATGAAAAAAAAGAAATAAAAAATAGAGAAAGAGAAATAGAAAGAGAGCATTTTCGTTGGGCAGTGTCGTTTGTTTCTTCGAGTTTAACAAGCTCCAGCTGAAAGTGACTTTTCTTTTTACTTTTTCCTTCATTCCCCACACTTTTTCTCTACTCTTTTCGTTCATACTCTACCATCTCGTCGAGACAGACCTTCTTCTCTTCTCTTCTCTTTTCGGATGAGAATGCGTTTACGAATCGAGTCAAAGAGAAAAATCTGCGTTGTTAAGCAAACGAAGCTTGGAACCTGGCCTAAGAAAAAGTATTTTAAGTTGGACGTAACCGCGAACGCAAACCGCGCTTCCCTTATTCTTTCGTCCTCAGTCAACCAACCATCCCACCCCCACCCTCACCCCCAACTTCCAACCCTCTCCACTTCTTTAGTTTTTTTCTTTCTTTTTTTTTTCTTCATATTTTTTTTATTTTTTCTCTTTTTTCTTTTCCTTTACATTTTCTTCTTCTTCTACTTCTTCTTCTCTATTTCTTATTTTCTTTTTACTTCAAGTTTGTCAGAATACCCGAGCGATCGAACGAAAAAACTTGAACGAAGAAAATGCGAAGAGAGAGAAACCTTTTCTGTTGTTCTAAGGAAAGAAATACGAAAGAGATGCTAGAGTAGTATAAATTCTTTCGAAATATATTGCGCTCGGGCAAGCTTGCTTCTTTCTCTTCGAATAAGAAAGTACATTTTCTTCTAAAGGTTCATAGTTTATAATCGATCGACTATAAATCGAATTTATTTACCATGCATATTTATTATTTGACCAAATCATTGGCTATTTCCGTACGTACTATTTCAAAAGATTTTATAAATACCAAATATATCGCGTATCCTTTACGTTACATTAATATTTACCTACGTAAAACTTGGAAATACGAAATATATAGTAGGGAAAAAAGATAAACAAAAAACGTGATTATAAATAAACGAAATGAAACGAAAATTCTAAACAAGTTTGATAAAAACAATGCTGGAAAATTTTCTTGGAAAAAGACTGCATGTTGAAAAGAAAGAAAAAACTGCGAGAAATAAATAAAAAATAAAAAATAATAAAAAAYAAAACAAAACTGCTTAATTTTCGTTAGTAATAATATTAAGTAGAAGGCTTTCGTTCAAGCTATGTCTTAAAGATATCCTAGATTTTTATTAAATTCCACTGAAAAGTCTGAAGAATGAGAACGATCTGAAGACATGCCGGAAGTTACGTCGCTACCAGCTTTCTTTTTTCCATTCTCTTTTCTTTTTCTACGTCTTCTTTTTTACTATTGTCTGAAATATGAGAATATCTTTAAGCGGAAATGTCGACTGGCAACTCGGGAACTCCCATTATAAATTTAATAGAGAAATAGCGACGCGAGAAAGAATGCAATAGCATGAAATTTTTTTAAATATACGAAAAAAAATTGTTGAGAAATTAAAAAAAAAATGAAAATAATAATATTTATTCATAATATTATATTGTTTGAAAAGAAATGAATTCAATAATGTCCGTAATTATATGCCGTTAGATCCCTTATGAGATTATTAATATTGTATTAATATAATTTTATTAATATAATTTAATTTTATATTAATATAATTTTATTAATGGGATAAACCTATTAATACAAAGTTAAGTAATGGAAATTGAAAAAGAACATAAAATAAAAATTATTACAGATGATTAAGACAGTATTTTTTTTAATATTACAGATTGATTAAATATGTCAATGTATCGATGATAATTCATATTTAAAAATATTCTATTAATGCAATTAAAAAATAGTCATACGAAGTGTGATGTGAAAAATTTGAAAAAAATCTCGACTAAATAATAAAATAAAAATATTACAGTTACTTATATTATAAATTATAAATCATATAATCGATTCGTTGAATTATTTTTTTATTTAGTTCACTGTTGTCATAAATACCATTGACACAATATTAATGACTCTCATAAAAGTGAATAAATTTATTTGATTTATATATCTTTCTCAATTCGATCTCAACATAAAAAAAAAAAAAAGAAGAAAAAAATAAACGTGTAGCCTCCCACAGTCAATTATTATGTTCATTTTTTTCTTCAATGCATACTTATTTACACATTACCTCGTTAGATTCACGTTAGCGTTTCACATTTTCATATAGATAAATACAATTCCAACATCGTTCTCTATGAGTATTTTTCCGTGCAACAATATCTTCCTCGTGAAAAATACATACATAGATCAATATGCATGTTTTTTTTTTGCAGTAACTATTGTAGAGTATACGCTGCAACGATCGATTCAAAGATATCAAACGTTTGAACGATCCAATCTACTTTTTAGATACGGGTTTAAACGTGTATGTGTGTGTATAAATATGCAGATATTTAGTGAGCATAAAAATGAAAAAAACATGCAAGTAAATATACCGATCAAACGATAATAGAAGTATACTTGTCTTAAGCCCGGATGATTAACAAGAAAACACATAGATTTCATTGTAAAAGTGTTAACGTGTTAACAAAAATAAAAATAATAATACATATGTATATTCACACAATAGGATTCGTGCTATCTCCGTGACGTTTACGAGTAAAAATAAATATTTGCTCTATTAAGAGTACGATATTAGGATAAAAAAAAGAAAAGTCCTGCATTAAATGTGGACTTTTATAAAAAAAGAAAATTTTAAAATAACTAACTAAAAGAAGAAGAAGAAAAATAAGGCGTAGCATRAAAGTAACTAAAAGCGATAAATCGCGTAAAAATAATTTTCCACCTTTCTCGTAGTCACTTTTCTATCCTCGAGTAGATTTACATAAAAGCCCGTAGCGTAACACCTTAAAACACGTATCGTCATAAAAATATCTACATAAGTCCGAAGCTAAAAAGGTTGGCTTGCGCAAAGTGTTTCTTAGAAGAAACGCCCGAAGATAATTACACGCTTGGATCATAAGCCGTTGGAAAACACGCCGAAGCAACCCGAAGAGCTTATTTTTCTTTTTATATCCAATTATTTTTAAACTCCCTCGCAAACTATCTGTCGAGTCGTTTTCTCTTAAAAACGATAAAACACAGGTCACGAGGATAGATAAAATAATAAAAATCATAATAATGTGTATATACTTGGGGGTGGGGAGGGGTGGAACAGAGTAAAAAATCGAGTAATGTGAAAAAGACTAAAGATTAAAAGAAACATGAATAAAGAAATAGAAAAGAAAAAAATCACGACAATATATTCGATATTCAAATTGCTATTGAAATCGAAATTGAAGTAAAAAAGAAAAAAAAGAAACCAATGTATTATATCACGAAATAATAATAAATATAACTTAAGAAAAATAAGAAGGAAAAGAGGAAAAAAGAGAGAAGAAGAAGAGTTAGTTCGCTACTTAGTTTTCTCGTTTGAAATAATGGAGAAAATAAGTATACTTTATCGACATAGATTCATAAGTACATATTTTCAAGATATTATAGTCGTGTGAAGGCGTCGTACTCGTTTCTTCAGTTTTATCGTTCAAAACCGAAGAAACTTAGTTCGCGATATGCCCCTTTCAAATCTTTTTCCTTGCACTTGAACTCTCTCTTTCTCTCTCCCTCTCATACAGAGAGGAAAAGTCCAATCTACGAACAGATCCGAAGGAAAGTATCAGAGGAAGAGAGAGAGAGAAATGTTCACTCGTCTTTGGCTGGAACCACCCTGGCGTCTCTTCCTTCCTTCCTTCCTTCCTTCCTTCCTCCCTCCCTTCCTCCCTCTCTTCTCGGATTCCGCAAAGGATTAAACCTCATAAATTCCACGAAGCACTCAGTAGAATTATCGGTATGCCGCCTTACATTCGCCTCAGCATCCGCCTCTCTTCCTTCGCCCGAAGCTGTTGCCTTTTACGAACGACTCCGACAAACGAGAACGATTTCTACGCGACTTTATACTCCTTCTCCTCTTCCTCTTCCTCTTTCTCTTCTTCCGCTTTCTCATTCTTCTCCTCTTTCTTCTTCTTCTTTTTCTTCTTTTTCTTCTACCACCATCTATGCCATTCCTTTTGCTATCACTGCAACTACTACCGAAACTAAAAAGAAGTAAAAGATTGGAATAAAAAAAAAAAATATAATACAAGTACAAAAGCGAACGAATCTTACGATAAACAACGTTTTCCATGGAAACATACGCCCTGAATTTCTTTTCTCCCTAGAAACCCTTTTCCCATACTTTTATCCTTATTTTTTTTTCTCATATTGGACAAACTTGCGATATATGATCAACAAATCGTAGTTACACGTACGTAATATAGAATGAA